GCTGGTAGTGCAGCTCCCATTACCCATTCCTGGAGGGTCCATCTGGTACTCAGCTCCCATTACCCATTGCTGGAGGTCCAGCTGATACTCAGCTCCCATTACCTTGCGTTGGATGTCTACCTCATACTTCAGCTCCCTGGCAGACATGTGTTGCTGGGCCTTGGGGCGTTGCCACTTGAGGAGGCAGTGTGAGTGGTTGCAGTTCACGGTGATGTTGATGGGTGGACTGTACCTTTCTGCAAAAAGAACCCAGGACACACCCCTTGTTATGGGTTGAAGTGTGTCCTCCCAAAAGATATGTTGAAGTCCTAACCTCTGGTACCTGGGAATGTGACCCTGCTTGGAATAAGATCTTTCTTTGATGATTCTATCAGTTAAATCATACTGGAGTATGATGGGTCCTAGTCCTAATCCCTTCTGAGTGATGTCTTATAAAAAAGAAAGACAAACACAAAAATAGGGTCACACACAGTGGCAAGACACCATATAGGACTCTGTCCACAAGCCAAGGGATTCCAAGAAATGCCTAGGGCTACCAGAAGCTTAGGAAAAACTTCAAGTTGTCAACAGTTTTAATTTACTTGAGTCAAAAATCAACATCCATGGAAGCAGTAGTCAAGAAATCAGATGACGTATTGCTTTGGGCAATCTGCAGCAAATACCTCTTCATAGTTTTAAAAAGCAAAGATGTCACTTTGATGACTAAGGTGTGCCTGAATCAAGCCACGGTGTTTTCAATGGCTTCATATGCATGCAAAAGCTGGACAATAAGAAAGAAAGACAGAAGAAGAACTGATGCGTTTGAATTACGATGTTGGGGAAGAATATTGACTATCCCATGGACTGCCAGAAGAACCAACGAACCAGTCTTGGAAGAAGTACAGCCAGAATGCTGCTTAGAAGCTAGGATGGTGAGACTTGAGCTTACTTACTTTGGACCTCTTGTCAGGAAAGACAATTACTACAAAAGACATCATGCTTGCTCAAGTAGAGGGTCAACAGAAAGGAGGGAAACACTCGGTGAGATGCATTGACACAATAGCTGCCACAGTGGACTCAAACATGCCACTGGTCGTGAAGACAGCACAGGACCGGGCAATGTGTTGTTCTGTTGGACATAAGGTCGCCATGACTCAAAGCTAAGTCAACGGCAGCTAATAACAACAACAAGAAGCAGTATCCCTGTGACTTTGTAAAACTTACATCCACTTGCAAAATACACATAAAAAACATCCACTGCCCCAGCTGAGAGGAGTCTCATAAGTACGCCCTCTCCCAAGATCAGCACTGAGAGGACTACCCAACAGCACTTGGAGCAATGGCGCCGTGATTGGAACAACCCAGGATACTCCAAAGTTTGGGTATATGCCGTCTCAGCAATCCTTGTTTTCAAGACTCGGTCTCTTTAGCAGTTTCGTAAATGACGTTAGTTTCCCTTTTTTAACCTGAGGGAGAATGGGGAAGATTTCTATAGTCTTTTGCAAAAGTAGATTGTAATGCCTACCCCTCTAAAGTTGTCTGGGGCTTGGGGAAAAGAAGATAACATCTGTGAAAACCCCTTTGAAACCTCAGAGTGCCTATCCCACGGAAGTTCTTGATGTACAGAGATTTTCTATCTGTACTGTTAACTGACAGGTTGGAGGTTCGAGTCCACCCAGAGGTGCCTCGGAAGAAAGGCCTGGTGATCTACTTCCAAACAACCAGCTGCTGAAAACCCTATGGTATATTCAATATTCTTCACCAGCACCATAATTCAGAAGTGTCAATTCTTCTCGGGTCTTCCTTATTCATTGCCCAACTTTTGCATGCATGTGAGGTGATTGAAAACACCACGGCTTGGGTCAGGCGCACCTTAGTCCTCAAAGTGACCTCTTTGCTTTTTAACACTCCAAAGAGGTCTTTTGCAGCAGATTTTCCCCGTGCAATGCATCTTTTGATTTCTTGACAGCTGCTTCAAGGGAGACTCGATTGCCAATCCAATTGTGTAGCTCCCCGTATGGAGACTTCAGTTGCTCCCCGTTATATCTGGAATGACATCCATTCCTGGCTTGGCCCCGAAGCCTGAAGAATTTTCATTCACTTGCCTGGCTCTTCCAGCGCGTCTAGCCTCAGCACCTCTGTGCATGAGGTCTCACGTTGCTCAGTCTCTCCAGCCCACTCTCCTCATTTTTCAGTCAGCTTCAGGGACACCTCCTCAGAGACACCTCCCTCAACCACTCCAGGACAGCTAGGTCCCTGTGGTCGGCTGAGTAACAACCCCCTAAAGATGCTCATGCCCTAATTCCCAGAACCTGCGAACATGGTACCTCACGTGGCAAAGGGGACTTTGCAGATGCGACTAAGGATCTTGAGATGGGGAGATTGTCCTGGATTATTCAGATGGGGCCAAACTCATCACCAAACCAAACCCATTGCCATCGAGCCTACTCCCGCTCATGGTGTCCCCATGTGTTACAGGGTAGAATTGGCAGGTTTTTCAGAAGCAGATCACCAGGACTTTCCTTCGTGGCACGGCTGAGTGGGTTTGAACTGCCAACCTTTAGGGTAGTGGTCCAGTGCAAATCGTCTGCACTAGCTGGGGACCTGTAATGTCATCATGAAGGTCCTTCTGAGAGGAAGGCAGCAGGCTCAGAGTCAGAGAAGGAGAAAAGGAGATGTGGTGTGATGATATAGACAAGGGTTAGTGTGATGAACCCAAAAACCAAACCTGTTACCGGAGAGTCAAATCCGACCCATAGTGACCCTAGAGGACAGAGTAGAACTGCCCCATGGGGTTTCCAAGGAGTGGCTGGTGGATTCCAACTGCCGACCTTTTGGTTAGCAGCCGAGCTCTTAACCACCAAGCCACCAGGGAAATGGATTCTCTCCTGGACCCTCCAGAAGGAAAGCAGCCTTGCGAACACCTTCTCTTTAGCCCGTTGAGCTCATGTCAGTTTTCTGATCACAGAACTGTAAGATGATAAATGTGTGTTGTTTAAGCCCCCCAGCTTGTGACCATGTGTCATAGAAGCCACAGAACACTCATGCAGCCCCGCTTGACAGTTTTCTCCCCCCGGCTGCTGTCGAGCTGACTCCAACTCATGGTGATCCCACGCATGTCAGAGTAGAACTCTGCTCCATAGGGCTTTCCATATTGGATTTTTTCGGAAGTAGATCGCCAGGCCTTTCTTCCGACACGCCTGTGGGCGGACTCAAACCTCCAACCTTTTGGTTAGCGGCCGAGCGCATTCACCGTTGGCACCACGCAGGGATTCCATTTGACATGTACTCAGCGGTAAAACCAGAGGTGTTTGCTCTTACTCATGTCATTCTTTGACAAAATCGAATCAAAGAACTGGATTCCTGTTCCTCGGCTGGACCCGTTAACCAGGAAGTAGCTGTAAAAGGTTAATCCCGAGATGTCCTTGACGTGGCACCCAACGTGGGTTCCGGAATGTTCTAGGTAATGTGGACATTCTCTTTCCGTTTCTCCCCTGTAAGAGTCCAAGGTTGACAGAGAACCATCAGAGCATTTTGTCATCACTGTCCTTGCCAGGGTGTCCCCGGCGAGGCCAGCACTTACTCTGAGTCTCGGATATAAAAGAAATATTGGACGTCGCCTGGGGCAGCTCGGCCCTTTGCCCACGTGCAGTTCATGAAATCCTCGTCGTACATAAAGCAGGAGAAGTTTTCTGCAGCCGTTCCATTCCCACCTGGCACAAGGCAGAAACAGAATGATTTGCATGTGAGGATTAAAAGGGCATTTCAGTTATACAGAGTCCCAAAGTTTATTAGTGGTTACCGGGGCCGGAGGAAAGGGGAGAGGAGAAAGCAGTGCTTATGGGATGCTGAGTTTTTGTTAAGGAGGATGAAAACATTTGGAAATAGATAGTAGGGCTAGTTGTACAACATGGTGGGTTGTTGGTTGCTGTCAAGTCAGCCCCCAACGCATGGCAACCCCAAGCACAACAAAATAAAAAGCTGCAGGGTCCTGTGCCATCCCTACGACCAATCGTGGATCAAACAATGTTCCTTGTGCTCCACAGGTTTTTTGTTGTGGAGATTGTTATGGTGATCTACACACAACAGAACATACATTCCATCAATTTCTACATGCACATTTCGGTGACGTTGATTACAGTCTTCAACTTCGGCAGGTATCTGATCCCAAAGTATCCCACCACTATAACATATGTTCAATGCACTCCTAGCAAAAACCCCCTCCACAGAGTTCTTATGGGCTGGCTTTCAGATGTAGATCGCCAGACCTTTCTTCGTGAATGTAATTAATGTCACTGAATTGTACATATAAAAATGGTTGAAATGGCAAATGATTTGATATGTGTATTTTGCTACAATAAAAATTAAAGAAAAAAAAATTAAAAGAGGTGTGCTTTGGTGCCAGTGGGGTGGAAAAGGATCGCCTAACAGTTTCCTTACCTGGGTTGTGGTATTTCAGTTTTTCCTCAAAGAGTCCCTGGCTGGTGTTTGCTTTAACCATGAGGAGGACTCCACCGTGCAGAGAACGGAGTTCAAAGGTGCAGTTACATTGTTTCTCCATGGGCTGAAAAGAGGTAACCAGCCTGCAGGTTATGAAACAGATTCCACTCTGATCCTGATGGCCTGACCTAGACCCCAGGATGGCAGCTCTCCTGCCTTTGAGAAATCTCCCCATATGCCTCCTCCCGGGGGCCAGCTCTCACGTGTAAGCTCGAACTGATGCTGAGGCACCTCTGGGTGGACTCCAACCTCCAACCTCTCGGTTAGCAGCCGAGTGCATTCACCGTTTGCACCACCCAGGGATGTCTCTTAGGACGGAGTCTTCCATTTAAAGGATCTTTGAGAAATCATCATTCTACAGAGGCACTTTGTTGGTGCAGTTAGCTGCCATCAAGTTGGCCCCGACTCAAGACGACCCCGTGCCCTGCAGAATGAAACGCTGCATGGTCCTGCACCTTCCCCACGATCGCTTGTGGATTGGACTGTTGTGATCCACAGGGTTTTCATTGGCTGGTTTTCAGATGTAGAATGCCAGGCCTTTCTTCCTAGTCTGTCTTAGTCTGGATGCTCCTTTGAAACCTGTTCAGCATCACGGCCACATGCAAGCCTCCACAGACAGACGGGTGGTGGCTGCACATGAGGTGCATTGGCCGGGAATCGGACCCGGGCCTCCCACATGGAATTTAGAAAATCAGATCGTCACCTCAGGATCTGGTGAAAATGCAGATTTGGGTTTAGCAGGTCCAGGTGGGGCCAAGATTCTGCATTTCCAAAAAGCTCCCAGGTGAAGCTGATGCTGCTGGTCCACGGACCCAACTTTGAGTTGCGAGTTCTTTGCCATTTCGGAGTTTTAGGGACTTTACCGCACCTCCTTTTATGTCATTGAGCATCTTGTGACACGCACGGGGTTGCCATGAGTTGGGCTCATCTCAACGGCAACTGTTTTTTTTTTTTCTTTTTCATATATCTATGTGGCATAGGGGTTAAGAGCTTGGCTGCTAACCAAAAGGTCTGCAGTTCGAATCCACCAAGCTGCTCCTTGGAAACCCTATCTAGGGGTTCTACTCTGTCCTATATGGCTGCTGTGAGTTGGAATCGACTTGACGGCAAAATTTTTTTTTTTTTAAATCTATGTATCTATAGTGTATATATCTATAGAGCCCCTGGATGGTGCAAGCTGTTAACCCTCTCAACTACTAACAGAAATGTTGGGGGTTTGAGTCCACCTAGAGGCACCTTGGAAGAAAGGCCTGGTGATCTACTTTAAAAAAATCAGTCACTGAAAACCCTATGGAACACAGTTCTACTCTGACACACATAGGGTTGCCAAGAGTTGGGGTCAACTCTATGGCAAATGTGTTTTTTTTTTTGGGAGGGGGGAGGTCTATGTATCTATGTGTCTATAGTTTGTATTTCTACGGAGTCCCCAGGTGGTGCAAACAACGGGCTCAGCTGCTGATCAAATGGTTGGAGTTTTGAATCCACCCCGAGGCACCACGGAAGAAAGGCCTGGCGATCTACTTCAGAAAAATCAGCCACTGAGAACCCTGCGGAGCACAGTTCTTCTCTGACACACGTGGGGGTGCCATGAGTCGGAGTCGACTTGATGACCACTGATATTATCATACCCTCCGTCCTCTGACAGGCTTAACATTTGCATTGCAGAATTGTAGACGAGCCTGTGGCTCTACCTGTCGATCTCTGTATTTGGTTTCTGTTGAAAGGGCAGAGCCAGTGAGACTTCTTTCTCAGGACTGAGTGTAACATGTAAGGATCTTTGAGGACTCACACAGGTAAACGCTGCAATACCATGTGGGCGGTGGGTCTCCCTAAGCCACGCTTGGGGGATACAGAGCAAGCCCCAGGTCTCCCGTCACCTTTACCCATGGCTGTTGGTGGACAGCCATCCTCCTGGAGATTCTGGGAGCACCTGGGGCGTCTACCTGTGACACCCACACACTGCCCCTGGCCCTTGGCTGTGCCCGCTGGGCAAGGCAGCTACCCCAGAGTTCCCAGGGCAGGGCTGAGCTTCCTTGCCCCCTGGGGCTGCCTCCTCGGTGTGCTGGGTTCCTCTGCAGGCTTCCACCCTCAGCAGCTCTGTGTCTGGGAGCTCCCCCTGCCCTGGATGTCCTCTCTCTGCCTGGGGCTGCAGGGAGTCGGGAAGGAGGTTCCCTGGAGCCCTCTGTGTGCCAGGGTTGGGGGGTGGGTGGGTGGCAGACAGGGTCCCTTGTGCCCTCTGTGTGCCGGGGTGGGGGTGGGTGGGGGGGAGATAGGGTCCCTGGAGCCCTCTGTGTGCCGGGGGTGGGGGATGTTTTGTGATGCCTTTCTACTCCCAGAACTTTCTGTCTTTCCCTCTCTTGCTCTCTTCTTCCTTCCCCCTCTTCTCTCTCTTTCTCCCTCCCTCCCCCCTCCCTCCCCCCTCCCTGCATCCTCCCCTCCTCCTGCTCTCCCCTCTGTCTCTCCTTCCTCCTCTCCCTCTCCCTCTTCCCCACTCCTCTCGTCCTCCTCCCACCTCTCCCTGTCCACCACCCCCTCCCAGCTCTATAGCAAAGCTCCAGCTCCATCTTTCTCCTAAACCCCAACACTGGGGCAGGGAGACAAGTGACAAGTCTGACACTCCCACTGCACCTTCCTTTCTCCACAGACCAGGCTCACCGAACAGACCAGGCATGTCTGCTGCCCCCTCTATCTTAGGATAAGATAGCCTCCTGGGTTCTCTGCAGTCCCCCAGGGAACCCCCCGCCCCCACCCCCGTCACCTCTTAGAGACAGCCGGCAATGCCCGCACCCCCAGCGTCACGGGCCCTGGGTTTGCCCAGCACCCTGTAGTGTGTTTAACCGGAGACTGCTCTCTTGTCAAGCGCTCCGTAAAGCAGCCATCTGGACACACGAACCCCCGTGTCTCACCTCCATGCTAATCTGCCCTTCTTCCTTGTGGATCATCAGACATTCGACAACCGTAGCATCTTGACGACAGTCCCAAGCTAATATCATTTTCCTCGGATCAAACGTCATATGCAGTGTGCGGACCGGCTCCTGGGTGGAAAGATCTGAAAACAAATGGCCGTCGGCTCAGAAATTCCTCGTGTCCCATCTCTCCTTCTCCCAACTCACTTGTCGGCAAAGACACAACTTGCTGCCCTTGGGATGGATTGAATTGTGTCCTCCAAAGTCATGTGAAAGTTCTAACCAAATGCCTATAAAAACGACGGCCTTGGTCCCTAGCGCTGCTGTAGTAGAAATGCCACAAGGGGGTGGCTTTAACAAACAGAAGTTTATTCTCTCACAGTTCAGGAGGCTAGAAGTCCAAATTCAGGGCGCCGGCTCTACGGGAAGTCTCTCTCTCTCTCTCTCTCTCTCTCTCTCTCTCTCTCTCTCTCTCGGCTCTGGGGGAATGTCCTTGTCTCTTTTCACCTTCTGTTCCTTGGTTCCTTGGTGATCTCCATGTGGCATCTATCTTCCCCCATCTCGCTTCTGTGCCTGATCTGCTCCTTGTAGATCTCAAAAGTGATTGGCTGAACACACAGCCTGCACTGACATATCCCCATTAACACAACAAAGGAAACCCTATTCCCAAATGCGATTATATCCATACTTAACAACACCTATTTTGGGGAGGACACAATTCAACCCATAACAATGACTCTGTTTGGTAATAGTAATAAAATCATTAAATGAAATACATTAATTACAACTATTTTAATAAACGGAGCCCTGGTGGTGCAGTGGTAAAGAGCTCGGGTACCCACTAAAAGGTCAGCCATTGGAATCCACCAGCCACTCCTTGGAAACCCTCTGGGGCAGTTCTAGTCTGCCCTCTAGGGTCGCTATGAGTCGGAATCGACTGGATGGCAACAGGTTTGGTTTTGGTTTGGATATTGATAAATAATAAATGTAAAATGATGGATCAAGAGGGATCCACAGACACGAGGGGCATTTTAGTGGAAGCAACAGAAGAGGGTCAACCAGATGTCCACACTTACCCTGGTGCTCCTGGGCCAGGAGTCCTGTTGGGATCAGTAACTCAGAAAGGAGCACCGCCATCCCCAGGGGACCCATGGAGCTGCCTGCAGGACAGGGCCGTGTCACAGATGACAATGGGGGGAGGTACTCATGACAGAGAAAAGCTGGAAGAACAGAGAATGTCACAGACCCACATTAAACCCGAACTTGTTGCCGTTGAGTGCATTCTGACGCCTAGCGACCCTATAGGACACAGTAGAACTGCCCCATAGGGTTTCCAAGGCTGTAATCTTTATGAGAGCAGATTGCCAGGTCTTGTCTCCCACAGAACCGCTGGTGGGTTCAAACCACTGACCTTGACTTAGCAACTGAGCGCTTCACCACTGTGCCACCAGAGCTCCTTCAGACACACATTAAAACCAAATCCAAACAAAGAGACCCATTGCCGTGAGTCCGCTCTGATGCACAGCGGCCCTCCAGGACAGAATGGAACTGCCCCATAGGGTTTCCAAGGAGTGGCTGGTGGATTTGAACTGCAGACCAGCCAAGCGCTGAACCACTGCACCACCAGGGCTCCAGACACAACATTAAAAACAAAAAAATCCAAACCAGTTGCCCTCAATTTGATTCTGACTCATAGCGACCCTATAGGACAGAGTAGAACTGCCCCATAGGGTTTCCAAGGAGTGGCTGGTGGATTTGAACTGCAGACCAGCCAAGCGCTTAACCACTGCACCACCAGGGCTCCAGACACACATTAAAAACAAAAAAAATCCAAACCAGTTGCCCTCAGTTTGATTCTGACTCATAGCAACCCTATAGGACAGAATAGAACTGCCCAGGAGGGTTTCCAAGGAGTGGCTGGTGGGTTCAAACTGCTGACCTTTTGGTGAGCAGCCAAGCTTTAACCACTCGGACACCACACATTAGGAGAGATTAAATCTTGAAGGGGTTCTTGGGGGGGACCCTGTGAATGTTCCCCCAGAAGGTTGTCAGGGCATGACAGGGCCAGCCATAGTAGTTGTTATGGATTGAATTGTGTCCCCCAAAAATATGCGCTGTAAATCCTAACCTGTGGAGGAGCCCTGGTGGCTCAGTGGTTAAGAGCTCGGCTGCTAACCAAAAGGTCAGCAGTTGGAATCCACCAGCCACTCCTCGCAAACCCTATGGGGCAGTTCTACTCCGTCCTATACGGTCGTCATGAGTCAATCGACTTGATGGCGACGGGTTTGGTTTTGATTTATACCTGTGGATGTTATTCCATTTAGGAATAGGGTTTTCTTTGGTCTATTAATGAGTCAATATCAGTGCAGGGTGTGTTTTAAGTCAATCACTTCTGAGATATAAGAAGTGCACATTGAGCACAGAAGAAGCAAGCGCCGATGGGAAGACAGATGCCACGTGGGGATCACCAAGGGACCGAGAAACAGAAACTGAAAGAGATAAGGACCTTCTCCCAGAGCCGACACAGAGAGAGAGCCTTCCCCTAGAGCAGGCGCCCTGAATTCAGACTTCTAACCTCCTCAACTGTGAGAGAATAAATTTCTGTTCTTTAAAACTCCCCCTTTGTGGTGTTTGTGATGTAGCAGTGCTGGGTAACTAAGCCAGTGATGATCCACCCTGTGACCAGGTAAGCCTGGTGGGGGCAAGGCTGCAGAGGACAGGCGGATTCCTGCCTGGTCTCAGAGGCAGCACCAGGACTTGGGGTGTGCCCTGAGCTGTGGGCGAGGGGGTACGGCCTCCTAGTTCCCTTCAAATCTCTTTGGGCATGTCGTCCACGGTACCTGAGCTTCATCTCTGTCTGCGCCCCAGGGGATCACTCACCCATTGCTGATGGGTATCTTCCTGTGCAGAGAGGGGGATGCCCTTGGCCTATCACCCCAGCACCCAGCACTAGGGCCCAGGATGGGGGTACCTCTGTACAGAGAGTGGGGAGACTGACCTGACCCCCCTCTGAGGGGTGAATAAGGCTGACCCAGGAGTGATCTGTAGTCTATGCAGCAGGGGAGTCCCTGGGTGGTGCAAACGTGAATGCGCTCAGCTGCCAGCTGAAAGTTTGGAGGTTCAAGTCCACCCAGAGGCACCTCAGAAGAAAGGCCTGGCTGTCAACTTCTGAAAACTCAGCCTTTGAAAACCCTGGGGAGCACAGTTCTACTGTAACACATGGGGTCGCCATGAGTCAGAATCAACTCGAAGGCAACTGTCTCTCTTTGCAGGAAAAAAGAAATATATCATCTACGCCTACATCATCTATATCCATAGCCTGTATCCGAACCCAAATCCGTTGCTACTGAGTTGATTCTGACACGTATCGACCCTACAGGACAGAGCAGAACTGCCCCATAATGTTTCCAAGGCTGTAATCTTTACGGAAGCACACTGCCACATCTTTCCCCCAAGGAGCGGCTGGTGGGTTCCAACCGCCAAACTTTTGGCTAAAGGTTGAGTGCTTAACCGCTGCACCACCAGGGTTCCTTATATCATGTATACTTACACTTATACGTGTTTCTATATCAGCTAGCTCTATTGCTATATTTAGGTCAGAGTCCCTGGGAAGTGCAAACACTTAACTCAATCAACTGCTAACCCGAAGGTTGGAGGTTTGAATCCACTCAGAGGGTCCTCAGAAGAAACGCCTGGTGATCTCCTGAGAAACCAGTCATTGAAAACCCTGTGGAGCACAGTTCTGCTCTGACACACATCGGGTCACCATGAGTTGGAGCTGACTTGATGGCAACTTTTTTGTTTTTTTCTTTTTTATAGAGAAGAAGCAGATCCAGGGTGAGGAAAGTGAGGTACTTGCCCGGAAACAAAACCTAAGGGGGCACCCCAAACCCAAACCCAAACTCGTTGCCATCAAGTTGGTTCCAACTCATAGTGACCCTATAGGACATAGTAGAACCGCCCCACAGGGGTTCCAAGGAGCAGCTGGTGGATTCAAACTGCTGACCTTTTGGTTAGCAGTCCAGCTCTTAACCACTGTGCCACCAGTGCTCCCCAAATACCCACTCATCAAGGTAAATAATTTTATTGCAATATTTTAAAAAATCCCACAATGAGCAAAATAGCAACATTTTAAATAAATCCAGGATCGGATGTGCCTTTGCACGAGCTTGACTCATACTCCTCACCCTAATTCCCTCCCTGCCGAATAGGGTCCTTATTTCAAATGTCCATGTCTTGCTACTTATGGATTGTTTTGCATTCATCCTGAATATTTTAAAAACATGGCATGAAAATCAGAGCCCAGGTGGCGCAGTGGTTCAGAGCTCGGCTGCTAACCAAAAGTTGGGCAGTTGGAATCCACCAGCCGCTCCTTGGAAGCCCTATGGGACAGTTCTGCTCTGTCCTGTAGGGTTGCTGTGAGTCAGAATCAACTTGATGGCAGTAGGTTTGTTTTTCGATGGGTGAGCATGAAAATAGTTACCTCTTTTCAGAGTTTCGGGTGCCCCCTTAAATTTGGTGCCCGAGGTGTCTTGTTTGTCTCACCCTCGTCCCGGCCTCATATTGCAGTTTCCGAAGCTGAGACCCGGAGGGCCCCCACAGGTGTGAGTAGGGGGCCGGAATGTGAACCCCACCACCCCACTCCCCAGCCCTGATGGATAGAGGCTTCGTGATTATAGGTCTACCAGCCACTGAGTGGTTCTCCCTGTGGAAAGACAGTTGGTAAGGGTGCCAGCGTCCCAAAAAAACCCCTTTGCCGTCGAGACGATTCCGACTCATAGCCATCCTAGAGGACAGAGTAGAACTTCCCCATAGGGTTTCCAAGGAGCAGCTGGTGGATTCCAACTGCCGCCCTTTTGGTTTGCAGCTGAGCTCTTAACCACTGCACCACCAGGGCGCCTCTTGGCAAGTAGTAGGTTCAGTTTGGTTTGAATCTGAGCTACTGAAGGATGGACCAGGTGCTTGAGAAAATGCCTTAACGTGACATACCTGACGTCCAGGTGTTACAGGTGGCGCTGTTCTGGAATAGATGGTGTTTTCCCTTCTTTACCTACCAAAGGCTCAATCACGGGCTAGTTCCTCTGCCGCACAAATTTGACTGGGGCTAGATATGGATGCTTGCAACCCTTGTGACACCACATTACCTTTGTGGTTTCTGTCTCCTTTCCCTGAACTACCTGGTCTTAGGAGTCCCCAAGGGCTGCAAACTGTTCAGTGCTCAACTACTGGCTGAACTGTTGGCAGCTCAAGTCTACCCAGAGATGCCTTGGAAGAAAGTCCTGGCCATCTGCTTCCAAAAGGTCACAGCCTTGAAAACTCTATGGAGCACAGTTCTATGCTGCACACATGGGGTCGCCATGACTTGGAATCCACGACAGCAACTAACAATAACAATGATACGGTGAGTGGGGAAACCCTCTGGATTCCGAGACAGAGCACCCAATTTTCTGGTCTGGTTTTCCCCTTTATTATTTGCTACCTGATCCTTCAACTTTCCTGTGCCTTGGTTTCCACCCTTGTGGATGGGGTGCTCAGACTGCCTTACCCACTCGTGGGGCGCCAGAGAACTCACTCATCGCTGTCCGCCTTTCGACACTGAGATGCCCACATCCTCCACTCCCCACCCATTTTCTCTTCTTCTTTCAGTTTTTAGCCAGTTTGAGTTTCCTTTCCTCTTTGCAGAGTTTCTTCCCTAACCCCAAACCAGTGGCCGTTAAGTCGATTCTGACTCATGGTGACCGCATGGGTGTCAGAGTAAAACTGTGCTCTATGGAGTTTTCAACAGCCGATTTTTTGGAAGCAGATCACCAGGACTTTCTTCCCAGGCACCTCTGGGTGGACTCGAACCTCCAAACTTTTGGTTAGCGGCCGACCGTGTTAACCGTTTGCACCACCCAGGGATTCCTCCATGTTCAACATTGGTTAAGAACTTCAAGATGGCGGCCAATCCAAAACCATTGCTGTTGAGTCGACCTCGACTCACAGCGCCCCCATGTGTGTCAGAGTAGAACTGTGCTCCACAGAGTTTTCAATGACTGATTTTTCAGAAGCAGATTGCCAGGCTTTTCTTCCAAGGTGCCTCTGGGTGGACTCAATCCTCCAGCCTTTCCGTGAACAGCGTGTTAACTGTTTGCAGCACTCAGGGGCTCCTTCCCTAACCCAGAGCCCTTCTTTTCTGCCATCATGTGTCTTGGTCTATGAATAGAACAAACTGGCTATGAACCAAGCAGCAACTGAACGCTGCTGGATCCCACAAGGGCTCTTGCTGGACTCAGCGGCTGACCCTGGAATCACTGAGCTGATCACTCCTTCTGTGTACTACAGCTGTGCTTCTCAAACCTAACCCCCAGAGGTGACACCTGAGGTCCATCGAAATGCAGAATCTGACTCAGTCCCTTGGGTGGCATGAGTTGGAGTCGACCCGACACCAACTGGTATTAATACTCGCTAATATCAGCTAGGAGCCCTGGTGGCACAGTGGTTAAGAGCTCAGCTGCTAACCAAAAGGTCAGCAGCTCGAATCCACCCAGCTGCTCTTGGAAACCCTATGATGCAGTTCTAACCTGTCCTGTAGGGTTGCTATGAGTAGTAATCGACTTGATGGCAATGTGTGTGTGTGTGTGTGTGTGTGTGTGTGTGTGTGTGTGTGTGTTTAATATCAGTTAAAGGAGACGCTGGCTGGTGCAAACAGTGGATGCACTCAGCTGCTAACAGGAAGGTTGGAGGTGCCTGGGAAGAAAGTCCTCGTGATCTTGTTCTGATAAATCAGCCATTGAAAACCCTACAGAGCACAGTTCTACTCTGACACACGTGGGGGCGCCATGAGTTGGAATTGAGTGAATAGCAATTGGTATTAATACTAGCCAATGTTAGTTAGAGAAGTCCCTGGATGGAGCAAACGGTAACACGTTCAGCTCCTAACTGAAGGGCTGGAGGTTCAAGTCCACACGCCTCGGAAGAAAGGCCTAGTGATCTACTTCTGAAAAATCAGCCACTGAAACTCCAGTGGATCATAGTTCTACTCTGACACACGCCGCATCCCTATGAGGCGGAATCAACTTGATGGCACCTGGCTTGGTGGTTTTCCTTGAAGTCTTGGGGGTGGAAGCAATTGTTCTTGTCAACACATGCCTTGTGCACCCCACAACCTGCAGCTGGTTCCAGGGACATAGGGACAGAGCGGAGTCAGCAGAGCATTTCCCCAGGAAATGGACCACTGTCCCCTGTGGATGACCACACGCTGGGCTACTTCCTCATGCGTCGAGCAGTGTTGGGAGTCTGCCCAGGTGGCCCCACAGCCTCATGCACGCAGGCGTGCGTGAGCAACAGAGAAGCTGAGCTAGCGCCAAACGCACACGCATGCACGCACAAAACCATTGCTCTCAAGTCGACTCCAACTTCTGGCAACCCCATATGTGTCAGAGCAGAGTTTCGTTCCATAGTGTTTTCTCGGCTGTAATCTTTACAGAAAAGCGCCCTGATGGCAAAACGGTTAAGCGCTTGGCTGCTCAATGAAAGGCTGAACCCACCCAACTGCTCTGGGGGAGAAAAGACCTGCAATCTGCTCCTGTAAGGATTACAGCCTAGGAAGCCCTAGGGGGCAGTTCTACTCTGTAACAGAGAACTGAGCTGAAATTGACTTGACGGCACACAATGATGAGAAGGATCTTTACAGAAGCAGATGGCCAGGACTTTCTTCCGTGGTGCTGCTGGGTGGCTTCGAACCGCCAATTTTTAGGTTAGTAGTCAACTTTTTGCACCAGCCGGGTACCTTAGCATTAAGGTCTAAGGCTCACTCTGTCATTGATCCAGACCCTAACACGCAGCACACGTGGTATTCCAGCGGCGTCTGAATCACTTTCCTCAGTGGGGCCCTGCGTTCAGGGATTCCTGTCTCCTGCCCTCAGTCCCTCGCTGACCTGGAGTGGAAGCTTCCTGGAACTAGCTATGGGAGCAAAGAACACCCCGCAGAGCCTTGGCTCGGCCAGCACAGAATGAACGGGCCACTACCTCTTTCGGCTTCTTTGCTTGTGGAGCCCTGGTGGTGCAGTGGTTAAGAGCTACGGCTGCTAACCAAAAGGTTGGCAGTTGGAATCCACCAGTGGCTCCTTGGAAACCCTATGGGGCAGTTCTACTCTGCCGTATAGGGTCGCTATAGTCAGAATCGACGGCAATTTTTTTTTTCTTTTTTTTACCTCTTAGTATGGAGCCCTCCTCTGTCAGCTCGCTGCTCCTCACAGGTCTGTGTCCCTAGTCGCTGGCATCCAGCGCCTTCTTTAAAAGCAGTCTCCCCAGTCAGAGAGCCAGGCTTGTGACAGACGGCACAGACCTCCTTCCCTTTTCTCCCGGGCTTCCTCCCCTCTCGCTACACTTCCTCCTTTGTTATCAAGAATTGGGAAACCTACTCAGTGAGCTCACCCAATGAAGCCCTTGGTGACGTCTACACCTATATTTACATCATCTATATCTGTATCGAGGAGCCCTGGTGGCGCAGTGGTTAAGCGCTCGGCAGCAGTTCGAACCCACCAGCTGCTCCCCGGGGGAAAGATGTGGCGGTCTGCTTCTGTAAAGATTACAGCCTTGGAAACTTTGTGGGGCAGTTCTGCTCTGTCCTACAGGGTTGCTGTGAGTCCGAATCCGCTGGGTGGGAATGGGGTGGGTATATCTATATCACCTATGTCTACACCTATATGGTCTCTGTCCATATCACCTCTATCTTCATATCTATACCATCTTCCTATCTGTCTGTTTATGTCATATCTATACTTATATCTATATCTGTATCACCTCTATTCATATCATTGCTATCTCTGTATTTATATCATCTGTGTATATATGTCTATATCTATATATTTACATCTGTATCATTTATATCTATATCACCTACAGCTACATCATCTGTATCCATATAATCTGTATCTTCCTGTCTATCTACCTAGTTATCATCTATCTATCCTCTATCTATCTACCTATCATCTGTCTATCATCTATCTATCTGTCCATCGATCATCCATCTATCTTTCTGTTTATCATCTATCTATCTATCTAGCTATATGTGTATTTACATTTATAACTATATCTACCTCTACCTCTATATCATCTATATCCATATCAACTCCATCCATCCATCCATCCATCCA